GTAGAATTTATGCAAAAATATGTCGATTAAAAAAGAAACAAGCAATAATATCTATAAAAATTTCACAATTTGCATTATTCCTCGAACAATAGAAGCCCCGAGATGTTTTCACAAATCCTTTTAGCTCTTCCATTTGCCTCTATAAGCATCGACGAGCAACACTCGGAAGAAAAAGAAGGATTATCGCGGATGTGTTGAAGGGCTAAGAAAGAAATTGCCATTTCCTGTACACAGAATTAATCGTAGCTCGGAGGACTAATCGATACCATTAAATCAAGCAGCTTTGAAGGAAAAGTAAGAGGAACCGTTTCTCCGATGAAACAAGACTCTTCTTCGCGTTTCTTTCGCCGTATCGAGAGACCTCCAGCTTACTCTTCTTGGTTTTTCCTTTCCGCGACTACGTTTCGCTTTGCGGCTTATTTTCTTGCCTCGCCGGTCCGACGATCGATTCGATATCCCTAGCTTGAAGCAATTCCGGCCTTGGCAATTGTATCGTTGCAGTTGCTATCGTCGAGGCAGCAATCTCGCGACCGATCTCTCAACGCCGTTATCTTCCCGATCGGCTTTTATCACCAGACGCTTGTTAAACTTTCCCCGCTGCCTTTTGCTGCCGCGTGCAAGAAGCGCAGGATTCTAATTTCAATGGATATCTCGCCGATAAATCTGCTCGTCGGTGAATTTTCCTTGACAAGTGTGCTCGGTGTGAATTGAAAATAATAGCTGTTGCAATTGTAAACGTCTCGCAAATTACAGTTTTACACCGGTTATCTGGATATTCGTGTCGTAGACACTTTCGGGTGTTCTCTATCGACTCGGGAAATGGAAATTTTTAAATACACTGCGAGTCTTCGATTATTTTTTAACCCTTTCTTGCACGATTCGGGCAAATTGCTCGATTATAAATATTTCGTATTTCTTTTTTCTTTTTTTTTTGATAATCGATAAATTACCGATCGTATTTGTGTTACACCGAGTTTATATGGATACACTGAAAAATTTGACCGAGGAAATGAATTTTTTAGTGTAATTAGCAATATCTAAATCTGAAAATTGAAAACAAATTACTTTTGTAAAATGGTCCCTAGAATTTGCGTTGGAAAGGGTTAGGAAATGGATATTTTTAAACACCAAGTGGATCTTTAATTATTTTTTAACCCTTTTTTGACCAATTGGAGAAAATTCATTGATTACAAATATTTTGTAGTTTTCTTTTTCTGATAATCGATAAATAACCGATCGTATTTGTGTTACACCGAGTTTACATGGACCCACTGAAAAATTTCACCGGGGAAAATAATTTCTCAGCGTTATTGAGAATATCTAAATTTGAAAATTGAAAAAAAATTGGTTTTTGTAAAATGGTTCCTAGAATTTGTGTGGGAAAGGGTTGAAAAATAGACTGTCTACTATAGAATACTGGAGAAAAAATAGTGCAACGGCAATCAGAATGGAGCATATTGAATTTAAAAAGAATACTTCTCTCGTATAAATTTCCTTCCGGGCACAGTTAAACGGATCAGAAGGAACTGGCAAGTATGTTCCATAAAGAAAAGTTTCTCATTGTTGCAAAGCAGAGTTATGTTTACCGCCGGTAACTGGGAGAGGAAAATATGTTTTCGACGGTATTTCCGATAAAAGACAGCCAGTACGGTCGCAATTTCTCGTCTATTCTCGAATCTCGACGACAGGTGTAACTTATATTTTCTGGACAATCCAGGAAACTTCGCGATATTTAGGCTCGTCCCTTTTTTCACGGACAATTTTCAACATTTCCGTGAACTTTCGGCAACCAATGAACGCTGCGATTACCGCATACTCGATTCCCATTGACCCAATTCTCGAGAAGATTGTTCCTCGAAGGGATTAAGAGTTTTTCTCATTACATTGTGCGAATGAACAAAAATTTTATTAGCCGTGGCTTGCTTCGAAATAATCCCTTCGTTGCACTTGGGATTTAACGGTAGGAAAATCTATTATCTCGATAGCATTTACGGGAGATACAATAATTTTCGCGTACACTGTGGATAAACAGTTTCGAATTGGTCGATAGCGAAACGAACGGAAGATTTCTCAGACGAAAATGGAGCAATTGTGGATTTAAAAGAATTGTTTTTAGGTATTGGTAACTGTGCAGCATTGCAAAATTGTTGGGGTGATTTTGGTATTGGTATGATCAGACAAGTGGTTCGAAACTTTTGGCCACCGGTGTGTGTCTCGTTTATCAGGAAATTGGCCTGCATAGGGATCTAATTGGGCTCGATTAAAACGAATAGCTTTGACCTGGAAGCATTCACATCGTTTCCAATGATTTTATGCTTTCACAATGGTCACCGGGAAGATTACCATATTTACAACCACTGTTTCCATTTCGAAGTGGGAAAGAGACATTTGCCGTGGATCGATATTAATTTCAAGATATTTGATTTGATCAGGAACGAAGGATTCCGTTGCAGCTCGATGTTGCGGAAGAATGTCGAAGTCCTTCAGAGTAGTTATTTTTTCTTACTTTTGCTAGCAGCAGACGTAATTTGGATACACTTTGGATACACCATCTTCCTGAATAATAGTTACACCTTTGTATTTAATAATTAATTAGAAGTAACAGTTCAACCTTTGACTTACGATTTCTCTACGATTTCTTCACTTCTACTGTTTTAACCCTTTGCTGTCCGAATAGTCCAGTTATTCCGCAATCATTTGGCCAGTGTGTACCAGTACCAGTTTGCCTTTACTTCAGTATTCAATATTAATGCAGAAAAAAATGGCTTTCTATCATTTACAATTTATCGCTGTATGATATCTGAAGGGAAAAATTCTCGTGTCGAATCTGACACGACATAGGACCGCAAAGGGTTAATACTGCATGAGCTAAGAGAAGCTAACGCATTGCAGAATAATTAAACCTTTTTGTCACATCTCGACTAAAACCTCCAAGTCTCTTATTTCCCCATTTCGCCACACAATTGTCTCTAC